CACACAAATACACAAATGTACACACAGTACATCCACACCCAAACACACAAATGCACACAGAAACAGAGACACACTGACACACACACAGAAACAGACACACAGACACACCCAAACATCCAAACACACACATGCACACATAGAAACACACACACACAGGATCTCTTTTATTTTTGCTCTCGAGAATAAATAAGATGCTCATATAAAGTACAGACCACAGTGCAGGGCATACAGTGAGCTAGGAGCATTCTATTAGGCTACTAGTCAGGTAGCCAACCAAGGTTGTCAGGGCCTGCCAACCAAGCAGGGATACAGGCTGGTGGCGGGCGGGGTTAAAGTCTGAGTAAGTGAAATGCAGAGCCCGAAAGATGGCATCATTCTCCTGGAAGCGTGGGAGGATGGCACCAGGGCATGGGAAGGCAGAAGCTGAAATACGGAAGCATGTTTGAGGAGCTATGAGTAGCGTCCCTTGCGTGTGCTTTGGTGGGAGGAAGAAAGTCTGCAGTGGGATACATGTCAACAGTATCTGGCACAAGGGCAGGAGATCCAGAGCCGCAAACGATGGACTTGAACCCCAACCTGAAGTGGTATGTCCATCAGAGGATTACTCTGTCAGGCTCAGTCATGGCATGGAAGGGCACTCTCTTCCTAACCCATCTTCCTGCCTTCTAAGCATGGGCCTTGACCTACGGCTTGGACACTCCCAGCATACAGTGCCCCCACCCCTCAGCCAGAATGGGAGGCAGGCGGAGGCTTTTTGCGGGGGCCGTGCTGGGTGGGCAGTTTTCCCAGAGCAAGGAGTGAAGTAGGACTGAGTTGGCGCCAGCTCCTTCAGATACAGACATTGCTGGCTGGATGGCCACCCTGTCAGGGTGAGCTTGAGCCCAAGGCTCCCTCGGGTACTGTGTCCCTGCTCTAGGGCCTTCAGCCCCATACCTCACGGTAGTGGCATGTCACAGGAGGCCACAGAGGCACCAGCAATGCCAGGAGCAGGCCATGGGCATAACAAAGCCAAGGCATGTTTGCTTCTAGGCACTGACAGGAAGAGGAGCCGCCTCAGCAGGACAAGGCAGGACCTGTGGGACGACACTAGGTGGAACAATCACAGATTGAGCAGAGCCACCTCTGCCCCTCGAGGGACCAGAGCTAGGGGAACAGCTCATGGCAGGGTAAGGACACTCAGAGGAGGGAGCTGGGGAAGGAAGGGTTTGGAGGGCAGTGAGGAGCCACCTCTGAAGGAAGAACTTTGATGAGTGTTGATGGATCTGCCCACAAGTGGGATGCTGGCTCCTTGGGTTCCTGGTAACATGCTGGAGGTGGCAGGACCGGTCATCATATCCATCATAGCAAAGCTCAGAGAGTTGATGTGACTTTTCTACTGAGGAAACTCAGGTCCAGAGGAGATATGTGAATTGCCTGATGTCCCTGAGCAGCCGCCAGTGGCAGGGAACCTGGGACCTAGACTGAGTTTTTTGGTTTGTTCATTTATATGTATGTATTTTGAGCTAGAGCCTCACATAGCCCAGGCTGGCCTCAAACTTTCCCTGTACCCTAGAACTTGGACTTCTAATCCTTCTGCCTCCACACTCTAAGAGCTAAGAGTATGTGCTACCACACCAGGTTTATACAGTGACGAATGGGGATTGAACCCTGGGTCTCTCACATGCTAGGCAAACATCCTACCAAGTTAGCTAAATCTGTAGCCCAGGACTGCGGGCTTTGATCTTTGGTGCAGTCTTTACCTTTTTACCATGGCAACCCCTTTATCTCAGGACCTAGTTAGGTCAAGGGTCAGCCCTACTAAGCAGGGGCGTGGCTCTCTGCTTCCTATGGCACCCAGCATGCTGATCATGCCTGATAAGCAGGAGCCACACTTCCATGGGGGGGGAACAGACGATAATGGGGTAGTAGAAAGAAAATGAGGTTCTGAGCCAAGTGTTGCCACCTTCCAGTCATTAATCCCAGCCTAGGCCTTCCTTCATTTGTATTATGAGGCATGGCTTAGACCCAGTGAGGCCCATTAGTTTCAGCAGAAGACTGGCACTAATGGGCGCTTGGAATTCAGAGTCAACCAGGTATAGCAGTATGTCCCTACAATCCCATCACTTAGGAGGTGGAAGCAGTCAGATCCTGAGTTCAAGGCCATCCTGGGCTACACAGGGATTTCAGGTCTAGCCTGGGTTACATGAAACTCTGTCCCAACAATAGCAACAGTGACAAGAAGCCAGGGTTAGAAGAGAATCTGTGTCAGATGCACTCATGGGTCCTCTCTGCAGAGTGAGGCCAGCCCGGAGAACGCGGCACGGGAACGGACTCGGGTAAAGACACTGCGTCAGGCCTTTCTGGCCCTGCAGGCTGCTCTGCCTGCAGTGCCACCTGACACCAAGCTTTCCAAGTTGGATGTGCTAGTGCTGGCCACAAGTTACATCGCCCACCTCACCCGAACACTTGGCCATGAGTTGCCTGGCCCTGCCTGGCCTCCCTTCCTCCGTGGACTCCGTTACTTGCACCCTCTTAAGGTAGGTCACTGGCCTAGGGACTTGGTCACAAACCTTGGGAAGCAGAATAGGAATTGAGGTCATTTTCTTCTAATTCTCTTAGAAGGAGGCCCGATGCTGGCTCTTGGGGTGGAGCGGGGACTGGGAGTGGCTGCAGGGGAATGTGCTTGCTCCAGGAGGAGGAAAAGACTGAGATTCTTAGTGTCAGGGGAAGAGAGGAACAGGTTCCTGGTCTGAGGCCCAGAACCCAGGAGATTCATCTGTCTCCAAACAGCTTCACCTTGTAGTGCAGCCCCTGCCTTTCTTCTCTCTGGACTACTGTTGCGGCAGACGTCTGCTCTCTGGGAGAACAGACCAAGGCCATAGTGCAGAAGCAATCAGATTGGAAGGCAATCAATCTGGGTCGGAGTGCTTCTAGCAGGCACCATGCCAAACTGTTACCTGGGTTTCCTGACCGCAGCTTGAGAATGTGCATGATGAAACAAGTAAAGAGCCAGCCATCTCTTCTAGAGTGCAAAATGAATGAAAAAAAGACAATTAACAATAATTGCACAGCAGTAACAGCCGCTATGATTGGATGCTCGGGACAAGGTAGAAGCTGAGCTGAGAGCGCTTTAGAGCGTTCCTATCTCTTGACTGCAAGAGCCAAAGGAAGATTATCCATGAGGAGATGTGAGGTCAGGGAGGGCAAGTGGCTGGGTGCACTTTGAGCCAGGGCTTCTGACTGCAGTCCTCTGGCTCTCAGCTCCCCTGTCCCCAGCAAGGGCCTCCCTCACAGGGACCTGGGAAAAGAGGTATGCTGTGAGCCAGGTGTAGTGGACCACACATAGTCTCAGTACACAGGAATCCAGGCAGGGGGATTGCCAGTTCCAGGCTGGTCTGGCAATGTAGCAAAACTCTGTCTTAAAATGGAAAAAAAAAAAAAGCCAGGTGGGAGGCACTCGAGAGGCAGAAGCAGGCAGATCTCTGTCAGTTCAAGGCCAGCCTGGTTTATAAAGGGAGTTACAGAACAGCCAGGGATAAACAGAGAAACAACAACAAAACAAACAAACAAAAGCAAGCAAAGGACTGTGCTGTATCATTAAGTGAAGGCCACCTTGCCTTCTAAAGGAATAACTTTTTTTTTTTAAAGACAAGATGTCGTATATTCCAAGCTGACCTCAAACTCATGTGTAGCTTGTAACAACCTTGACCCTCTGTTCCTTCCACTTCCTCCTTCTGGAATTCAGGCCTGCCCATCACACTTGGTTAGCCCTATGCTGGGGATTGAACCCAGGGCTTCGTGTGTTCTGGTCAGCACCCACCAGTCCGGCAGCTTCTTCAGTCCTCAACCTGATTTTTATGATGGATACTTTTGATTGTCTCTTTCTCTTACATATTGTCCTTTGGAAAAAGTTTTCCCCCTAGAGAATGTAGATGAAATGCAAACCTCTGAGACTAAATGGGGTAGGTTTAAAATGCTAAAGGTAGCCCCGGCACAGGGCCATGGGTAAGAGAGCAAGATTCTTATCTGTAAAATGGTGATCAATGTAAAAGGAAGCCCTTGTGAATAGTAAATGAACAATAAATATATTGGTGAAAAAGCAGAGAAGAGGGAAAAGGAACTGAGCCCCCAAGCGGGGAATGTCCGAGAGGAAGACAAACTCTGAGCACAGTAATTCTTGCAGTTTTTCATCTATCTATCTATCTATCTATCTATCTATCTATCCATCCAACTATCTGTCTATGAGACAGAGTTTCTCTGTGTGGGTTTCTCTCTGTGTGTAGCCCTGGCTGTCCTGGAACTAGATCTGTAGACCACGCTGGTCTCAAACTCACTGAGATTTGCCTACCTCTGTCTCCTGAGTGTTGAGATTAAAGGTATGCACGTACCACCGCCACTACCTGGCTAGTCTTGCATTTTCTAAAACCACCCTTGCTCCTAGTGGGAAGACCTTGAGCTCCCAGCAGGGTGTGAGCTGAGGAGCCCCATCCTGTCCCTCCTCCACCTCTCACACGCCTCATCCAGTGCACCTGTCTACCCTCCCTCCCCAAACAACTTGTGCTCCTCTTAAAACCTTCGCTACCCACAGTGGGGTCCTCCTATGTCTCTGTTAGACAGTTGGAACATTCTTTAAGGCTGTGATATTTGAGGGATATGTCAAGCAGGGGATGCCAGGGAAGGCCAGACTTAAGGTCCCAATGGTTCTGGACTACCCAGGACCACGATAGCTGTGTTAATCATCTCCGTCTTACGTCTTTTCAGAAGTGGCCCATGCGATCTCGTCTCTATGCAGGAGGTTTGGGATGCTCTGGCCTCGATTCCACCACAGCCATCACTACCGGCCAAAGATGCAGGGATGCAGAGCTGGGGTCCCAAGTCTCTGTAGCAGCAGATGGTCTCCTCCCCTCACCGGTCTCTCCAACTCTTGGTAACAAATGACGACCACGATCATCCTATTCTTTTAGACTGTGACAATACCTAAGGACCTGGATTGTCTGCCTGCTCTGCCTGTCTTCCCCTTGACTCTCAGCCTCTGGATTTGACTCAGGCTCAAGTTCCAAGTTCAAGTTTGGCTTCTGGCAGGCAGAGAAAGCAGTAATGATATCAATGGTAGAGAGTCCCGAGGAAACCCAGGATGTAGTTCACCTTTGGCTCTTCTACAGTAGTGACAGGAAGTGAAAGAGAGTTTGACATGGTTCAAAGTCAAGTTAGAGAATCATATTCCCCCCCACCCCCCGGGGCTCTTCAAGACAAGAAGGCAAGAAGACAGAAATTGCTCTGCCAGTACCGAGTGGGGCTAGGCCCACAGTAGCCCCAGGTGCTCACAGGTATACCAGGGGGCCTAAAGGGCTTTTGGTAGCAGTAAGTATGAACACATCTGGGGTCAGGTCACAAAGTCAGAGAGAAAACTGAAGAATGGAGTGCGATTTTTTTTTTAATTTCTCTACAAGATGTTTATCCAACATCAAAGAGTTTAGAGTCCTTCTCCCTGGAATATGGTGACAAGTGGGTCCCTTGTCACTGCCTTCCTACACCAGGGCCCTGCAGCCTTTCACATGTCAGGAGATGAAGCCCCCAGACTTACATGGCTTACAATCCAGAGAAACTTAGTTAGTCCCAGCTATCTAGGGTCAGATCATTTTAACACACAGGCAGCTCTGCCTTTGCTCAAGGAGGCAGCCCCTCACAGCCCTGCCTACAAAGGACAACAACACTCCCAGCTTTATCCCCTTGAAGGGCTCAAGACAAAGCAGGTGCATCACTCTCATGGGGTGATAAGCAATGTTCTCTTTGGTATGTTAGAAACCTCACCTCAAGACAATATAAGACAAGGTGGGCTTCAGCATGACTCCTGTACCATCAGCAACAGGGGCTTTATGGGTTTTGATATAACTGTACATTTCTAAATATCAGCACCCAGGGCCAAGTACTTCCCACAGGCATTGACATCCTAGGCTTGCCCCAAAAGTTCTCTAGAGCTTTAGTGGCACTTGTCCTTGACTCTGAAGAAATAACTAGAGACAAAGCATACACTAAGATGGGCTTTCCAAGACAGGTATAGTTTCAGGTTGGCTCCTGGGGTCTAAACATAGCAGAAACTGCCTTCCTCTCAAATTTCAGCCACCGAGGCCAACTGGAGTCCCAACAGGGTGCTCATGAGTGGAGGCTCGGCAGGCTGGGAGGGACTGGATCTGCTCCTCCATAGGGCTGAGCCCCTACAGCATCCAGGAAAAGGGGGTTGATGGGGTGACTCAGCAAGCTGGGGTGGAGAGAGAAGACACAGAACGTCCCAGCCTCAGCTGCATGGGCTGTGGGAGAGCAGCTGGGCTGTGGCTGGGAGCCATGACGGACAGCCTCAGCCAAGGCCAAACCCATAAATCTGCCTGGTCCCACATTTCTCCTCAGGGACCCTGAGAACTTGTACAGAGCTGATCCAGCAGCTGGACGGGGCCAGGCAGGGGCAGAGACCAGGTGTGGGAGAGCAGGAACAGTCTTCTTCACAAGACCATAAAAGTCCAGCCTGGGTGTTCTATTTTTAAAACCAAATAGCAGCATCTCCCTGGTCGAGTTGGAGGGTGGTAAAAAGGAGTGTGCCTGATTTCTCCTCAGTCGGTGACATATGACCTGTCTCTGGGCAGGCTGGAAACTGGCTTTGGGTGCATGCTGGGAGTCTGTTCAGAGATTAAAGCATCTCCCAGTAATTGAGTAGAGTTTGATCTGGAGCTTGACATGTCTGCCCTGTCTAGACTCAAGCTTTTGCCACATTTGACAACCCTTCAGAGATGACCACATAACACCACCCTGGTGAGGAATCTGAGGAGGGAAAGGAGGGTGAAGTTAGTAAAGGTCAGGTAAAGAACAACTCCTACCAGGAAGGTGCTTTGTTTTGTTTTGTTTTGTTTTGTTTTGTTTTGTTTTGTTTTGTTATGTTTTCTTGACATGGCTCACTGTGTAGCCCAGGCTGGATTTGAACTTGAAATCCTTCTGCCTCAGCAAGGACTATGGGCTCACAGGCCTGTACCACTCTGCCTAATTAGAACAAATTTCTAAATCTGTTACCAGGGAATCTGTTTTTCCCACTGACTAGGACAGTCACCTGGCACAGTCACCCTGAGGAGCCAGAGGGGTTGGGTTGTGGAGAGGGGAACCAAAGGAAGACCCAGGGCATGACTAGGCCTCACCCTCCCTGACCAGCACAATGCTTCCCTTGAGAAGCACCACACTGGAGACTGGGGTCTGTAAGTCAAGCCGAACAAGGAATGAACCTCTTTGTTTCCACAACAGAGGAAGAAGAGCACCTGCTGACTGGGAGAGCTATGCTCACCTGTGCTGGGGGCAGCGGATAAGAGCGGTTGGAGGCAGCAGAAGAAGCTGAAATCTGTCTCCAACAGTGGCTATTGTTCCCTAGGAATAGCATGTACAGGGAAGAGTGTGCAAAAGTTAAGGAGCACAGATGGCCGATGGTGTGTGGGTGCCCTGGTCCGGGAGTCAGAGGGATGGCTGCACCCTCCGAACCTAGTTCAGTTTTCTTCCAGTCCCTCTCAGGGTGAGATGCAGGTAGAGTGGAGAGGAAGACCTCCCTGTTGCCTCCTTCCGTTTGTCTGGCTGTGCCGCAAGAGGTCAGTACTGAGGCTTAGATAGAGCTCTGGGAGGGCAGAACTCGTCCAGCGCAGCACAGGAGTTCCCCTTTGGTGACAACGGACAATGGCTAATCTTGACTGTCAACTTCTTTGGATTGAGAGATGACTAGAGAGTTAGTAAAGTAGACCTCTGGGTTTGTCTGTGAGGACTTCTACCTCCTGAATGGCTTAGTCCATGGATGGATTCAAAATAGACTATTGATAAGCTGGGCATGGTAGTACCTGCTTTTAATCCTAGCACTCAGGAGACAGAGGCAGGGGTATCTCTGTGAGTTGGAGACAGCCAGGCCAACCAGTGAGACACTGCCTCAAAAACAAAATTAGACTAGTGGGTGGCAGTGGGATTGTGGACAGGCTGGAGGTAGGGGCTGGGGCTGTGTGCTTGGGGCTGTATATTGTCCCTGACTCCCTCCATGTAACTGCCGCACCCCTGCCTCTGTCTGCCATGAGAAAGAGCCGTCCCTTCCACATACTCCCAAAACCATGACACCAAGAAGCTGTGGACTGATCTCTCTGGGACTTTGGACCAAAATAAATCTTTCCTACTTTACATTGTCTCTATTTAGAATTTGGTCACAGCAATGTGGACTCTAACGAAGAGTAAGAAGATCAAGATGTTTTCTAAGAAATACTTTCCTTTTCTCCTGGGAAGAGCCTGACTAGGATGAATTAGATAATGTCAGCTTGTCCCCTTCCTTTTTTTTTTTTTCTTTTCCTTCGAGATAGGGTTTCTCTGTGTAGCCCTGGCTGACCTGGAACTCACTCTGTAGACCAGGCTGGCCTCGAACTCAGAAATCCGCCTACCTCTGCCTCCCAAGTGCTGCGTGCGCCACTACCGCCTGGCGCTTGTCCCCTTCCTAATACTAGCCTTAGAAGCTTATTCAATTCTAATCAAAGCTGGGCAAATAAGGGCCAGTAGGCCAAAGCCAGCCTTTACCTGTTTGTGTAAATAAAGTTTTATTGGAACAGCTCTATTCACTTGCTAACATTATTACTGTTGCTTTTCTCACATGGAAGCAGAAGAGCTGAGACAGATGCTGAAAGTCCTAGAAATTGGTTATCTAGACGACCGAGAATATTTCTGACTTCTACTCTCCCCATACATAATTCAAAACACCATGAGTATTATGAGTGTTTCTGGGAATCCTGGGTAATCTAAATGACCAAAACTATTTTCATAATATAAGAATACAAAATGCATGCCGGGCAGTGATGGTGCACGCCTTTAATCTCAGCACTTGGGAGGCAGAGGCAGGCAGATTTCTGAGTTTGAGGCCGGCCTGGTCTACAGAGTGAGTTCCAGGACAGCCAGGGCTACACAGAGAAACCCTGTCTTGAAAAACCAAAAAAAAAAAAAAAAAAAGAATACAAAATGCCATAGACCTCATTTTTCTCTTCCCTTCCATTTGTTTCTTCTCTTCCTTTCTTTATATTTTTTCACATTTGTGTTTGTGAGTGCCATGGCACACACATGGAGGTCAGAGGTCAACTTGTGAGAGTTAATTCTCCTCCCACCAGATGGGCTCCAGAGAGTAAACTCAGGTGAGCTTGGTGGCAAGAGCCTCCACTCTCTGTGCCATCCCACCAGCTCTCTTTTTTGTTATTGTTGAGACATGGATTCCCAGACTAACCTCTTATGGTTAGCCTTAAACTCAGCAGAGGCCTCTGGCTTCTTCAGTCTATTACCACATCTAGCTAAAGTTATGATTAAAATTAATAGTGTGTGTGTGTGTGTGTGTGTGTGTGTGTGTGTGTGTGTGTGTCTGTCTGTCTGTCTGTGATCCTCAGGCATATCATCTACCACAGGGTCTCTCATTGGCCTGACGCTCACTAATCAGGCTAGACTGGCTGGTCCCCAGGCTCTGGTCTCTTCCTCCCTAGCTCTGGATTTACAAGCATATACCACCGTGCAGTTGGCCTTTATTACATGGGTTCTGGGGCGGGGGGAGGTTGAACTCAGGTCTTTAGGCTTATAATGCAAGCATTTTACAGGGTGTGCTGCCTCTTTAGCTCTTTCTTTTTATGTTTTCAAAGATGGGGTCTCATGTAGCCCAGGCTGGCCTTCAAATAACTATATAGCCAAAGATGGCCTTAAACTCTGGATCTTCCTCCTTACACACCTCCTTCTTTGTCACCATCCTCAGGTTAATTCATGTTTTCCAATTTTTATATTTGCATGAGTGTTTCTCAGGGTAGTATATGTGTATGTGTGTGTGTGTGTGTTATTTTATGTATGAACATGTGCATGAGAGTGTGATCGCACATGCACCAACATGTATGTGAAGGTGACACATTGACATCAGGTGTCTCAGTTATTCTCCATCTTATTTATTATATTTTTAATTTTATGTGTTTTCTCCCATGTGTTCAACCTGTGTGTGCAGTGTCTGCAGAGGTCAGAGGTCAGAACAGCATATGTGTCTGCAGTGTCTGCAGAGGTCAGAGCAGCACTGGGTCTTTTGGAATTGGAGTGACAGACTGTTGTGAGCTGCTGTGTGGGTGCTGGAAATCAAACCCATTTTCTCTGGAAGAACAGTACTCTTAACTGCTGAGCCCCAGGAGACAGAGTCTCTCATTGAACCTGAAGTTCAACAATTTGCCTATCCTGGCCGACTAGTAAGGGCTATAGACCTCCACACTTCCGGAACAGCGTAGGTAGGACTGCACCCCAGTGCGTGAGGCCTCAGCTGTCTCCTGTGTCTCTGCTGTGTTGTTGTATCCCAGTCCTTCCCCCATGGAAGGGTAGAGGTGGTGTGGGGGGGCGAAGGTATGTAGAGGGGACGTGCACCAATGATGAGAGACTCTGCCTGAGTCTGCCAGGAGGGAGCCAGCCAGGCCTGGTGCAGGGAGCATGACACAGGGTGAGCACAGCCAAATGAAACGCTGTCTCAAGGAAAGAGGAAAAGCAATGTAGTGGTAGAGCCCCTGCGTAGCCCGCACAACGCCCTAGCTTTATCCCCAGCATCACAGAAAAGAAAACAGTGCATCATTCACATTATCCAAGCAATGCAAAAAACAGGTAGCAAAGCCCAGTGGTGGCGATGCAGGATGCATACCGTAATCCCAGCACCCCTTCAGGAGACACACAACCAGTTGTAATTCCAGTTCCAAAATATCCACCCAATTCCTCTGGCTTCCATGGGCACACACTGGTCTACACACACACATACACACCAAGAATTTTAAGAATAACTTTAGCTAGATATGGTAAAAGACTGAGACGAAAGCACTCTGCTGAGTTTAATACTCATACACAAGCTGGAGAGATGACTCAGAGGTTAAGAGCGCTGACTGCTCTTCCAGAGGTCCTGAGTTCAATTCCCAGCAGCCATATAATGGCTCACATCCATCTGTAATGGGATCCGATGCAAAGTCTTCTGGTGTGTATCTGAAGACAGCTACTCATATAAATAAAAATAAATTATGCACAAACATTAAAAGACTAAGGGCTGGAGATGTGGCTCACATGATGCCCTAGGTTAAATCCACAACACTGCAAGGCCTAAACCTGTACATATGAGAGAGGGTGTGGCTAAAGAGACAAGGGACAAGGGACAGCTCTGGCCCCTCATCTACAGCCTCTTGATAGTTTCAGTGTTCCAACTGACAAAGGCCAAAGTGGTCTGTAAGCTCCTAAATCCAAGTGTGCCGTCTCAGGACTTCACTTCTTGCCCTGCCCTGGGGAAAACAAAGAACTTCCTGAAGGCTGAATTAAAACTTGCTACAGAGGGTCTGGCCAGAGGGCTCCCTCGGCTTCCTCAAGGTTGAGGCTGCTCTTTTGAGGGTCTGGGTTCAATTGGTAGAAGCCACGTGATGGTACGCAACTGTCTATAACTTCCGTTCCAGAGGCTTTGGCGCCCTCTCCTGGCCTTCACAGGCAACCAGGCACGCACACAGCACACATAATGTGCTTGAAACACTTATGTACATAAAAGAAACCAATCTAAAACTTTAGAAACACCCATACACATAAAGAAGAAAAACCTCACAGAGTAAATCGACTAAAAACTTAACCAATCAAGTACTTTATTTAAAAATGTATCCAATGGTAATTGTATCCAATGGCAAATGCTTAATTTCAGCTGAGAGTGGTGGTATACACCTGCTATCTCAGCACTTGGAAGGATCAGGAGTCAAGATCATCCTTGACTACAGGTTGAGTTTGAGGCCAGCCTGGGCTACATGAGACCCTGTCTCAAAAAAATAAGAAAATTCATTGGGCATGGTTCTGACTTTCATCCTAGCACTAGGGAGGCAGAAACAGGCAGATCCCTCTGAGTTTCAGACCAGCCAGGTTCAGAGACCCCGTATTAAAAAATAAAAATGATTTTAAAAATCTTAGTTTTATTAGCATCTAGAAAAGTACAGCTAGAAACCATCAGATAACAGAATATACCTACCAGAACTGCTAATATCTGTGTCTTGATTAGGGCTACCATGGCTGTGATGAAATACCATGACCAAAAGCAACTTGGGGAGGAAAGGGTTTATTTCACAGTTCCATATAACAAGTTGTCTTAGTCAGAGTTCTTTTAGCGTCACAGAACTTATGGAATGTATATATTACAGGAATTTATTGTTATGACTTTTGTTTTGTTTTGTTTTGTTTTGTTTTGCTTTTTTCGAGACAGGGTTTTTCTGTGTAGCCCTGGCTGTCCTGGAACTCACTCTGTAGACCAGGCTGGCCTGGAACTCAGAAATCCACCTGCCTCTGCCTCCCAAGTGCTGGAATTAAAGGTGTGCACCACCACTGCTCGGCCTATTGTTATGACTTAAAGTCTGTAGTCCAACTAATCCAACAATGGGCAGCTGTGAATGGGAAGTCCAAGAATCGAGTACTTGCTCAATCTCATGAGGCTAGTTGTTTGAGCTGGTCTTCTGTAGAAGCAGATTTCAGCAGATGTGCTGGCAAGTATGTGCAAACAGTCGAAAAAGAGTAAATCTTCCTTCTTCCAGTGTCCTTACGTAGGCCTCCAGAAGAAGGTGTGACCCAGATTAAAGGTATGTACCACCACACCTGGATCTGGAATTTGCTTTGTTCCAGGCTGACCTTGACCTCAGAGATCTTCTTGCCTTAATCTCCTGGGATTAAAGGCATGCACTACCTTGCCTGGGCCTAAGCTTTTCACGGCCATTATGCCTCAAGATCTCCATGTCAAGATCCAGGTCAGAAACTCGTGTCTTCCAGCCTCAAGATCTAGATCACAGGTGAGCCCTCCAAATCTGGATTATAGTTCATTCCAGATATAGTCAAGTTGACAACCAGGAATAGTCACCACACAAGTAGTCTGTTATCAAAAGTAGTGAGGGCAGGAACTCAAATAGGACAGGAACCTGGAGGCGGGAACTGATGCAGGGGCCATAGAGGGGTGCTGCTCACTGGCCTGCTCCTCATGGCTTGCTCAGCCTGCTTCCTTATAGAATCCAGGATCATCAGCCCAGGGACGGCACCACCTACAATGGGATGGCCCTCTCCATGTAAATCACTAATTTTAAAAAATGTTCCATGGTATTGGCTACATCATGATCTTACCGAGGCATTTTTTCAATCAAGGTTCCCTCCTATCAGATGACTATAGCTTGTGTCAACTTGACAGAAAACTAACTAGAATA